GGCTCAGCCGCCGGGCTATTCGTCCAACGGTGCATAACCAACATAATCAGCAACTTGCTGGTGCACTCACTTAGTCCCGTACGTTTCCACGCTAGCTGTAGGCGCATACTTGACTGCCGGTCAGGCGTTCATAGAAGGGTGCTGGATCAACGTAAAACAACTCTTCCCGAAAAGTCGCTGCTTGGTAACACTGAGTCATCAACTCTCAGATCAAAGTGAAGGTTTACAGGAGGTTAGCTATAGTAGTCAGCCTTATTTGATATCGGCTTAATAAGTTGGAAGCAGGCATGAAGGTCACTAAGTAAAATTAATAGCGATAGACAGTTGATGCCACAACCGTCGAAGAGGCCGTGGTTTTGATTGAAACCTAGTTGGGGAACACAATTTCAAATGAGTTTGCCCAAAAGAATCGGCCGCCTTGGACGTTGGCTTCAAGATCGGAATGCAACATCACAGCTTGGAGTACTAGGGGCCGTCTTAGAGGCAAGTGTGAGGAGCATTAATTACCAGGAAATAGGTATTGCACTTGCCCTTTTAGGGAATACGGAGTGATTTCCTTCCCACTCGCCCTTTTCACTGACTCCTCATCAACGGCGACATTAAAATATGGAGACACGCCCTATTTCTCCGATCAACTTTACGGGTGTGGAGGGAGGAGTCACGCCCTTCATGTCACGTCGGCTACGGCGTGAAGAGGTAGCGTCCATAAGAAAAACGTTTTATGCTTGCCATCTGGGAAAAAACCGTATTCGTCAATGGGCAATTTTAGTTCCAAGTCCATAAGTTCATAAAAATACCTGAAGGAAGAGGGTTTGAATCATAGCTAACCTTGTATCTTCCAGTGCCCTACTACTACTACTACTACTACTACTACTACTACTACTACTACTACTACTACTACTACTACTACTACTACTACTACTACTACTACTACTACTACTACTACTACTACTACTAATAATAATAATAATAATACTGCTACAACAACTATTACTACTGCTCAGACCACTATAGTTACCACTAAAAGGGTCACCAAGGCTTCGCTGTAACTGGTTAACTAGCATAAGTGGACATGCCACGCACACGGAGCTGATCGTAATCGTTAAATAAATTCCTAATATGCCAAGAGGCACTTAATTGGTGTTGTGATAATGAAACACATAGAGAAAACCTCAAGTAAGCGCATATCCTATGGCAGGCGAGTTTTTTCACAGAGAAGCAGAGAAGAATTTCAGGAGACGGATGACAAGATTATTGGGCTATGACTGCCGTTACTAATTCAAAAAGTTGAAAGCAGTCCCTGAGCAACAGAAATTGGAATCCGCCGGCATATTCGGTGTTTACTTGATTGTTTGATTGAACCGGTTGTTGTCAATGGCAAAGACAGACAGTTGGGAAAAGGGAGCAAGGAATGAAATTGAATCTGAGAGACTTTTTTTACACTATTTGCCATTCAGACAACTCAATGAGCCAGAGCGGGCCATATCGAGAAAGCGTACAGTCACCTTAACGATCAGCTTTTCTACGAGACCTCAGCAATAACACAGAGCGAAAATATTGTGACAGAGCTAAATAGGCTTCCATGCTGATTAGAAAAGAATAATGTCATTTCTAAAACGGAATGACCCTGTTTGAGGCTTAATGATGACGCGACTTTCCATAAATTTACAAACCAGAGGGCCTACTCAAGTCAATAGTGTCATTGAGGGGACCTTCGCTTGTAAGCTAACTTGTTAGTTGACCCACACATAAGTCGCCAGAAGGACTGTCAATTTAGTTTCACGCTTCCCGTCATTACATCCATTCCCCCGAATTTGGCATACGATGGACTACGTGTGAAACCCTATTAACTCTGCGACGCGGGTCAGAACTTCCTCATGGCAAACCCTATTATACAACAGTTTAGCCTGAGCCAAATACTGTTCTCAAGAGAGGTCTATGAGCAGGTCGAGGGGCTCCTATTGGTTGTCCATTCGTCAGGCTTATCATAAGACTAGTACTACAAGAGCTGGGAAGTCGAGCCTTGCAGTAATACGAACCAATGTTTTGGCTCCGATATACTGACGACGCTTTTATGGCATAATTTACTTGCCGCTATCTATCAAATTAAAGGGGAATCAGGGCGGAAACTCTCATTTCTTTTCAGCACACAACCAAACAGAAATCCTGACAATGGCTACCCAGGAGGGTCACGTAAACAACCTAGATCCCCAGTTTTTATACCAAACAATCTTCTCAAGTACGAGGAGGGCTGCTTGCGGACTATGCACGGAAGGATGCACAAATAGTGCAAGATGCCGGAGGCAGAGGTTAACAAGACCTGTTATCGGCGTGATCAACCAGAAGAAACGTCCGCTCAAGTGCCTTCATCACCGGATGCCTGTGGTCTCACTGGAGGCAAATACCGACTGGCAGCGATAAAACGTGACCGCAGATGTAGCAACATAACTTGTCCCTGGAGTCCTGAGTATTGGCGCCGCACGCTGACCCTTGGCCAGGATGCGCATTCACATCATAGGCAGCAAAGGCATGTTAAGCACTGGAGAACCGAATCCCGGACATTGCCTACTCTTAAACTTTAGAGGTCGGATTGGGCGAAAACTGGAAGGTAGGTTATGCGACCATAAGTTGGAAATCTACCTTCGCCTGTGGCTACGCATCATCCGGAAGAAAATCAATGAATGGCATTACCGACAAAGAGAAGGGAGACTGGAATGGCCACCTCTGGCTTATTGGCCGTCGTCAGCCAGTCATACCCAACCCCGAAGTGCGAAACACCCGAGGCTCGAACTCGCGACCTGTTAGGTAGAAGTCCACGCCTCTAATCACTGGCCCACGAGCCCGTTGCCCTGTCGATTTTTGATCAAGAGTATAAATTGATAAGCCAGAAATGGCCATTCCAGTCTCCCTTGTCTTTGTCGGTAATGCCATTCTACTGCCTATATCATGCGCCGCTGTGTGGCTGCTGGTTGGGCTCGAGAGAGAGGGCCCGTAAGGTGCAACGGAACGAGTGAGTTCCGTAAGGACGATCGGTGAGCGCCCCCTACCAAAGAAAATCACAATTGTTGATAGAAGCGAACAGGCAAGTTCCAGGCAGCAGTTCAGAAGACGAAGATGCGATCACTGAAACAAGAAATTTATTAGCCTGACGTTTCGGATTCTCACTCGAATCCATCTTTATCGACAGTCGCAGATGGATCCGAGTGAGTATCCGAAACGTCAGGCCAATAAATTTCTTGTTCCATTGATCGCATCTTCGTCTTCTGGAAATCACAATTTTAACTGCACTGCCGTGTCGATGGTCAGAAAAGCCGCCAGCAAAGTGTACGTAAGGTAATTGAGGCTTGGGTATGAAGCCAAGTGCCGCTGAGCAGGTGTGTTGTACTTGTCTGCGCCACAGCACGGTAGGCGCAGGGATGGTGACTTTTGTGTGTACCAGTTTATATTGATAGTAGGCTTGGGCAGCATCTGCCACACTCCCCCTTCCCTCACCCACCTGAGCCTGGTAACAAGATTCAAGTGGACCGGAGGCAAGATCGGGCGCAGCATTTGACAGAGTTAAGCAGTCCGTCTACGTCTGTCACACACGCCTGGTCCGCGTACAATGGACCAAATTTTCACTAGACAAGGGTGGGCTTCTAAGTCGCGGCTTATGGCACACCAGGGTAGTATAAAAGTGTTTCAGATTTTTTTGTGTAAGGGGCAGTATACGTTGAGTGCCGCGGGGACGTAATCTCCAAAGTCGGCCACACTATCTTTTCCCCTTTCACAGGCACCAGTCGACTGTCCGAGCAGGCCAAACATCTGATACGGGAATCGGGTGCAGGTGGCTGATGCGCACCAGAATACCCAACATGTGGGGCAATTTTATGGATGTGTGGCCCAAATAACGCGAGCCGTACCCTTGTCTGGGCTGCGTGTCCATTCAGCGCAACTCGCGAGTAGTCCGTTATAGGGGAACACTGGGGAGTCGGACGCTTCGCTGACGTCATACAGCGGCAGAATATCGGTGAAACGTGTGTCTGGGTTTTTAGCTAGTATCTGTGCTGTCAGTGTGATAGAGCGCGCAGTCATGCACGATGACACAAGATCGGGCCGATTGGCCCATCCAATGTAAAAGGTCTGCAGTGCTGGTCTTTTCATATCTCCGAAGTTTGACCCGGAAACCGGTCCACAGGCTCAGGCGAATAGACTATTTTTTCCAATGACCAGCTTTTCTTCTTTAAAGGAACATGTCGTAGCATGACAGTCGTGCTAAAAACGTCGTGACTTGTATACTACATACAAAGCTAATTAGTTTTCCCAGAAAAAGTGAACGAACACGCACTTCCTATGATCGTTTTGCAGGAAATAAGCTCATTTTGGCTCAGAAATGAGTGATTCTGTGAATTCTGGTGCCCTATTGAACGTAGGCACATCTTGATATCCACGCGTCTGTTCATCCTGCTAAAATTTTGGGCAGTTGCCGATGTATTTAAATAGTTAATGATGTCTGAGTAGGACTGATTTATGTGGTTTCTTAAAGAGGACATGGGAATGGGTACGCCCCACTCAAGTACTAAAGGTGGACCTGCATATAATTCCAGAAAGGGCGAGATATTCCCGTATCCTAACTCCAACAATAACCTTAATATATAACTAAACCACTGCCCTAACTGCGACCCTAACCCTCCCCTAAACCTAAACCCTGCAATTCATACTATTCCCTATCTTAAACCTAAACGTCATTTTGACTTACATTACCGTTGACTTTAAAACTAGCCTTAAACCTAATCCCGAACCTAACCCTAAACCTTACCTCAAACCTAACCCTAATTTCATTGGAAGTCGGTTCAAAGTCACACTTATTGTAGTCGGTCCCTGTTTTTATGTTCTGTTTAGGGGGACACGTAAGTCAGTCCTACCGGCGTTTGAAGTGCAGATCCAATGGAAGTGACAAGGCGTGTTCCAGGAAGCAGTTCAGGAGGAGATTCGAGCGCTGGAACAAAAAGTTTATCCGCCTGACATTTCGGATTCTTACTAGAGCCGCTGAGGGGTTTGAGTGAGCATCTCAAACGTCAGGCGATTGAACTTTTTGTTCCAACGGATGTGTCTCTCTCTTCTAAACTGCCTTCTGGAACGGGCCTCTTAACTTCAGCCGACAACCTCTTTGGGCATGGCGCACTCTACTCAGTTCGACAATGGGGAAAATTTGTCTTTTGTGAGTCGTCTCTTTGTGTCTCGACAATGACATATAACCAAAGTATGTCTCATAGAAAGCGGCAAACGCATGGCTGGCGAGACGCGCAGTTTTTCAGTACAACAGACGAATGATTTGAGTGCTTGTTCCAGCTTGTCATTCGAGACTTCGCGAATACCGTCACAAGACTGGCCGAGAGAAGACCGAGTACTACAAGTTCATGGACGAGAACGGTACAAAACTGCTTCGGCAGAGACTTTCCACACGAACCGGTGAACAGAGAGCGGTACGTGAAGCAGCAGGGGAAAACAAGTTCCTTGCTCTGCCTTCAGTGCCATCTAGAAAAGGGAAAATTGATACAACAGGTGCAGGTGTTAGGACATAGGTCATCATTGAAGCCCACCAGCATGATTTAAGTAGTGGAGTCAGTCCTCAATCAGACAATAGCGACAGACGCATCGAAGAACCTAGACCCTTGTCTGTGACTGCCTCTAATGATGGACTCGAATGAGAATCCGAAACGTCTGGCGAAGCGACTTCTTGTCCCAGCGACTGCATCTTCTTATCCTACAGGAGTTCGTACCGAAATCAGCTGAGTTGCAAAGGTGCTTTCTGATAGTAAGGACGCCATGCAACTTTGAAGTCTTACTTATTTTTACATATAGAAATTGATGTTCAAAAAGATGCGACTTACCGCGTCCTATACCATCAAATAGTCTGTTTGTTTCCAGGAAAACTAAATAGTCTTGCATAACAATCAGAAGCCGATGGCGGAACTTTAGGCTATAAAAGTAGTCAGGCTTGGTGGACCATCGATGTATCACAAGATTTGATGTTTACTATAGCTAGTTTAGGTATAATTTTAGCGTCTTCTTACCGTGTGTTTAGTTCCTACGGTCTTTAAAGAACTTGAATAATATACCAGCTCAACAGAGGAGTACGCAGCGGTCTTCATGAAAGACACTGACAAAGGTTAACGCAAAGTTCTGGTCGCTTGTAAACTTCGTGTTCCTCTCAAAAGTTCACTAGCCGTAAATACATGTATGAAAGCCGGATAGTGTAGACGGCCTAAAAAAATCAAAATGCCGACGTTATAGCGCGATGTACAGTACTTTTGGTCGCCAATACAGCCACCACGATTTTTGACATTCAAAAACCTGTTTTTCGGTCTCGGGAACTTAACTCGTTTACGGTCTAGTGAGTTTGCGAATTGCATTTGTGATCCTGGATCGTATAGTTAATCAAAAGAAGACGGTTATGCTGAGTTCACGGGAGTCTTGACAACCCAGTAAATGCTAACCCTGTGTAGAACCAGCTGATTCGTGCCCTCACAGACGTCAGTGAAAACCGTCGATGATCAGAAGTCCAGTCTCACTCAGCATTCTTCTTCCTATGAGTTTTGAAACCACCGCATGCATGTTCCAGTAGGCTCACTCGCAACATTCAGAGCACGGCATGTTTCGAAATGCTGGCATCTTCAGACGCACACCCACAACGAGTCCGCTCAAATGCTTCCTGCGCTGCGACCGCAATCTCTTCTTAAATTGTCCTTCAGTGATCCAGGAACCATAAAGCTTTCCATTCAGTGGTTAATTTCGCTCTTATACAATGAATCTAGCCTGAACTTAGCAGAGAACCTCGATCTCTGAACTGACAGTGCCTTCCGCGCTGTCAGCCCTAATGCCCGGTTGACCTTTCACTCAGCTGTTGACATTTGAGATCAATTGAATGACCTGTGAACAGGCAGGTATTCATTAATCTCAACGAATTTACCTTTTCGACGTTGTTTATAATGCGCGTGCATTTTGCATACACGCAGTGTAGAACAGTCGGAATTTGCTTGCTGACCTTACATGCTCCTTTAGAGGTAGTATCAACAGATACTGGCCTTCTTGGCTCGTTCGTCGTCTTGAAACGGTCAACCATATCTTAACCTAAAACCGCGAAGAGGTGAGAATTTACCTTGATTCCAGTTGGTCAATGAGGTAAGGCAATTCGTACATGCCTCATTTGCTCGTCTCATCCGAAGGCATCGTTGCGAGGGACGACACCGTCTAGCATCAAACAATTAACTTCGTAAGCCCCTCTGGTTCCTTATTTATGTTTGCACGCGTGACATAATTCAGTAAGACTGCTCTAGACGGCTGCACGTTGGGAGCTCACAGCACCCTAGATGGTCACCCACTCTACAGCAGTCGGACGCATGCAGACTCTCAGGCGACGTTTCAGCAGTTGGCATGTCAGTCCTTCTTGTCCGGAGGAGGAGGAGGGGGGGGGGTGGAGGAGGGCGCAACTTGCCTGTGCAGAATGATGCGACGTCAGCAAAGGGTTGTATATACAAGAAATGCAGCAAAATTAGTATTCCGTGAAGGATATCCTCTCTCAGGGGAAGATGGTCAGTTTATGATCCAGATTCAGGCAAAAACAGTACATGCGGATATTGCCTCACAAAAACCACTCCATGTAGATTTCTATTCAACTTTGTCATGTCTATATGTGCATGTAAGTTGGTCCATGAAACTGACATTAAACGTGACTACTAACAGAACTCTAGCTTAGCTGCTTTGCTAAGTCAGACGTTAGTACCCCAGCCGAAATACCGTTTGGAAGTAGATGCGACCAGCAGATCGAGCTGCATTAAAACCTGTTCAGTTCGGGTTGCAGTAAGCTCAGTTTGCCATAAAGATGCGCCGTTCTTTTGGCAGCACGTTTCCAGACAAGCCCTGATAACTCTCTGCATTTGCAACTTCACCACTCAGCTTTTTAATCAGTCCGAGTCATGTGCGACAGGGGTATTCAGGTAAAAAAAGGCGTGTGCTGAACTGACCAAACGCGATAAGCGCGACTGGCCGCGCTCGGGACTGCGAAAGTAAACTTCTACAACGTTCTCCAGTTGTGATTTACTGCCAGTCTCTTGTGCTGAAGCGATTTGCATTCTCTTGCATCAGACGGTAAAACCAGAAAATAAATTCCCCTTTCCAGGTCTTCTGAGCTCCTCTTTGGGGACAGCGGTGATGATGATGATGATGATGATGATGATGATGATGATGATGATGATGATGATGATGATGATGATGATGATGATGATGATGATGATGATGATGATGATGATGATGATGATGATGATGATGATGATGATGATGATCATGACGACGACACGCTTTACACATCACGTAGTTTGGCCGCCTGTAAATGGTCGCCTGTCAACCACGTTTGGGCCGTCCAAACTATGTCCCCGTCTACTTGTGGGGGCGAAATTCTGCTTAACTAACTCGCGACCCTGGACAGCGCTACATACAGGTAGACAAACGCGCAGGCAGGTGCGCACATGTTCGTTCCTGCGTCACGTCAAGCCAGTCGCCGATCTAACTCCGTGGGACGCAATTGCAGAAACGATCTAAGACAAATTTCACACACGCCTGCAGGACCACACGTACGCATATAACGAGATCAAATTATACTCCCACCGATGTAGTATGGCCTTTGACGCCAACTGCGTTGTGCACGTGGAGTGCTCACTAGTCCTCTAGTGAGAGAGCTGACCGTGACTCAGTCGGGAGGGCAGATGTAACCGAAAGCATAGGGGCGCAGAGGTTACCCCAGCGGGTCTCAAAACCGAATGTATTACGATCCTGTGATCACGACAACCAGAGGGTACGACGGGTTTTTTACTGATCAGATGCCGTGAACTCACTTCAGCGCATGCGTGCTTTAATTCAGGAGTCGGCAATCGGAGAATGTAGTACAGAAGACTGGTGCAGTGCTCTAACCCCCGCCCACCTGCCATTAGTAAAGACTGATAAGAAGCTTAAGAGAGAGACCATTCAGAGTCACGTACTAATCCGACTAATATATCTGGGTGTAGGCGTGGGAATTTCGGCGGCTTTGGAAGATCAGGCGCATTTCAGTTAATTCCGTGCTAAAAGACTGGACCACGAAGTGTGTTGATATTTAACGGTGTAACGACGCCGGTCAAATGCAGTAAATACTAGTTGCCACGGTTAGTGCCTCGCGATAACAACGTCTTAGTAGTCCTAGGAAATCTCAGTTTACCTGACGTGCAACGTTTCCAGTGGCATACTATATTCCATGGAACTGTGTCCCACCTTGTCAGAAACTGGTTAAATGCTCATCACTTGCTTCAGTAGGTTGATAAAAACGAGAGTTGTGCGAAAATTAATCGCAGATCCGATTAAACTGTTTTAATTTATAGAAAGATAAGACAACTTTAAAATTTTTACGAGCACCATTAATATCGGAAATTGGGACGCAGGATTCTAACCCTTCCCTACTCCCGATAGACGAAAGATGGGTTTTAAATGTTTAACTAATTTCGAAACTTTAAATACACGCGCAAAAGTGAACCTGCATTTAAACTTTCAGATAAAACCTCTTTATGACGGAACTCGCGGCCTATTTCATCATTTGACATCCTCCTCCTCCTCCTCCTCCTCCTCCTCCTCGTCCTCCTCTTCTTCTTCTTCTTCTTCTTCTTCTTCTTCTTCTTCTTCGTTATCATTCATACCTCTATGATCGTGCCATTGTCGCGATACTTAAAGTGACATAAATGCTAGATGTAAGTATCATAAGCAACAGCAGAAGGAACAACACCGTCATAGTTGAGGACTGTTTGTGCGATGTGTCGGTGAGGTGGACGCACACGGTCACTTAAGTATTCAGGAAATAGGGAGAGACAACTAACTCGGTCTTGCCTTCCAACAATAGCAGAAACAATAGGAATGACAGTTGAAGTTGCTCAGTACTTTTGACGTCATCCCCCACAGACATCCTCCGGAGGCGGATACTCAGAAAGAAGAGAATGAGGAGCTACTGAGTCCCCTCTCTCACCTGCTTCCTTATGGCACTCCAGCCCGTCAATTTTCGCCTACGTTTCCCTCACACGCACCTCTCTCCACCCAGGCCGAACACAGGTCTGTCCGTGTCGACCCTAGGAGGATTAATAAAAGTAATTTGGTCTCCCCTTGCAGACCCTGAAATTTGGCACGACCTCCTCAGGTTTGGTGGTGTTGATGGCTGTATACGGTTAAAATTAAGAGTCGCTGATCTATTTGACACCTGAACACGACTTTCTCCAAGAACGTTTTTCGTAAGGCCTGAGAGTAAGTACCGACCCGTATTACAGG